GTTTAAAATTTATTGCTTCCATAGCATGAAGTGTGTCAAGATTTTGTTATTTAAGGTCCTTGTCTTAGCCATTCTAAAAATAGTTGTAGATATTTTGTAATGAATGATTCAAAAGAATTATTTTTTAATATGGAAAATAACTGTATTAATACAAAATGTTTATTTTATGGGAACATTTAAGTGTTTAATCTTACCTTCCAAAGTTTCTGGAATTTCTTAGTATATGCCAAAAATATAGACATAATACACTTGATCTTTTAAGTATAATTTTGCTCATTAGCCTTGACTATTAGCTTTATAATCTTTATCCCAATATCATGGACATCTGGCAACTATGATAGCATATCAGGTTAGGAAGATTAGGAAGAGGAGATGCTACCATCTTCTTCCAAATATTGAACTAGAGTTAAGATAATATATAATATTGATATAGCAATTTGTTTATCATTCTGTTGACATTCAATTTTCTTTCCTTGAAAACTGAGATTAAATTATAAAAACTTTCTCTCTTTACACTTTCAGATTTCTGTGATTGATAATATGAGTAATTTTCTTTTGTATTTAAAGTTGGCCTGACAGTGTATCATTGCCTTTGATAGCTTTGATTCATAATCACTAGTGAACTGTTAACGTCAACACTGCTTTTTCTTTCTGGATTTTGGTAAGAAAAGCCTAGGCTATTTAATCCAATTAAATCAGTATTTCTACTTTAGTCACCAACAATCCATTTTTCCTTTCCTTGTTTATTTGCTTAACAGATATTTATTTAGCTGCTACGCTCTATTAGACCTCACCTTGGAGAGACAGTGGTGAGCAGAACACAATCTCTAGGGTTTATAGCCCCGGTGGGAGAGATGGAGAGGCCAGTATCATCGAGTTTAAGGAGTATTAAGGGACAGAGGAGCTGGGAGGGGCAGGATGCTGGGTGGCACATTAGTGGATCACTTGATCTTGGAAGTTCAGGAGCTATTTCCTCAAGGATATAAGTCAGGGATTCAAATTTTGATTAGATGCTGTGAATTATCATGGTGATCTGAGCAGCTTCAGAAAAGTGCTGGAGGATGGTGATGGTATAGCTAAAGCAGTGACAGAAGTCTTTGAGTCACTGGGGTGAATAGCATGATGATCTAATGAAGAGAAATGAAGTGGGAAGGTAAACAACAGGACTATGAAAATGGACTTTATCTTAAGGACAACAGATGTCCTTGGCAATATCACTTAGGGAGTTAAGGGATAAATGAATGAACATTTATTGAATGGCCAACTAATATAAGGTACTCTAATACCTTAATTACTTTAATCAGATAAAAAGTTATATGTTCTAGTGATATGATAATGGGTATGACAATGATAATAAGGTACTCTAATACCTTGAATACTCTAATCAGAGTAAAGGTTATATGTCCTAGTGTTATGATAATGAGGGTTGGTGCATTGAATTGCTAGAGTTCAAAGCTAAGTTCTACTACTCAGTATTATCTTAACCAAATTACTTAATCCCTCTGAGCCTCAGTTTCCTCGTATCTACATAAGTATAATAATAGTACTTCCCTAAGAGAATGCAATATAAAATAAATACCTATAAAACTCTTGTTATAGAGCCTGACAGTATATCAATAAACCAATAAATAATACTTTCCATTATATTTATTGCCCAAAGTTACACAGCTAATATTGAGCTGATACTTTGATCAGATTCTATACAAATATGAACCCTATACATTTTCACTACCATATGTTTGTCCATGTGGAGTTGTTTCCACATATGTAAAATGAGGATCAATAACAAATTACTTCAAGAGTTTATTGGTGAAGATTAAAAGGTCAGCATGTGTACAAGTGCTTTATACATTTTAAAGTGCTATATAAACACTTGTTATATAATGTAGCACTGGATTCTGAGTACCTGGGAACTTTCAAATATGGCTATTTTGCAGGATTGAGAAGTAAAATGTTTTTCTAAATCTCATTTGACTATGCCGTCTTAGAGGTGGGAGGGAAACATGGTGTATTTACAGTGAGCAATCAACTAGTAATCGACAGAAGTAAATGACTACGGGTGACCATCTCCAGGTCAGATCTCTTCTGTGCCAACAACCCAATTTCTCATGTGTAACAAACCACTTCTACCTGGATGAATCCTTGCATCCTAAGTAATTTATCCAAGTCAAAGATAAGCAGCTCAACAATGTATTTTGTGAACATGTAAAAATAGTAGCTGAGGGATTAAGTACATATTCCAGTTAGTTAATCCAATTGATGTAAATATGGATTAACATCATATCTGGGAGGTAAGTGTTTAACTTAAATATTACTTTTGGCAACTCATTATTAATGTTATTTAATGAGACATAATCATATTAATATGAGCCAATATTAAGAATGTTTTTCTTCTTTCAAAGTATTTTGCTTCACATTTTATTTCACTTGCTACATTGAAAATGATTTTATAGTAGTTTTTACATGATTAAGAGCATAGACTTTTTATTTTTTATTTTACATATTTAAGGTATACAACATAATTTTTTATATACATAGTGCTATGGTTACTACAATCAAGCAAATTAACACTTTCATCATTTCACAATGTTACCATTTTTATGTGTGTCAAGAGCACCAAAAATATGTTAACAAAAACCTCAAATAAAATACAATATTATTAACTGTAGTTCTCTTGTTGTACATTAGATCTCTAGACTTATTCATCCTGCATTCAACTCTGTATTCTCTGACCTACATCTTTCCAGTGTGGCCCATCCGTGGTAGCTACCATTTTGTTCTCTGTTTTTATGTATTTGACAGAGGTTTTTTTTTTTTTTTTATTCCACATGTAAGTGAAATTAGCTTTCTGTCCTACAACTTCAAAGTTCATCCATGTTGTGGCAAATAGCAGAATCTCTTTCTTTTTTTAAAGGCTGAATAATATCCCTGTGTGTTTGTGTGTGTGTGTGTGTGTGTGTGTGTGTGTGTTTCAACATATTTTATCCATGTCCCTTGATGTACACTTAGGTTTTTTCCACACTGGCTGTTATGACTAATGCTGCAATGAACAAGAGAGTGCAAATATCGTTTCGAAGGGTGATTTCATTTCCTTTGAGTAGATACCCAGTAAAGGGTCTTTTGGGTCATACACTAATTCTATTTTTATTTTCTATAGGCACCTCCACACTGCTTTTCACAATGGCCGCACCTATCTACATTCCCACCAACAATGCACAAAGATTCCCTTTTGTCCACATATTGTCAACACTTGTTATCCCTTGTCTTTTGGAAATAGTCATCCTAACAGATGTGATGTGATATCTTATTGTGGTTTTGAGTTGCATTTTCTTGATAGTGATGCTGATCATCCTTTCATATGTGAGTTCTTTATATATTTTGGATATTAATCCCTTATTAGATAAATGGTTTGCAAATATTTTCTCCCAACGTATGGGCTGTCTTTTTATTTTGTTGACTATTTTCTTTGCTGAGCAGATGCTTTTTAGTTTGATGTAGTTTATTTACTTATTTTTGATTTTGTAGCCAGAGCTTTTAGTGTGATATCCAAAACAATTTTTGCCAAGGCCAATGTCAAGGAGCTTTCTCCCTATGTATTCTTCTAGCAATTTTAAGGTTTCGAATCTTACATTGACTTTTTATCCATTTTGAGCAGATTTTTGTGTATAGTGTAACATATGGGTCCAATATCATTATTTTGCATGTGATATCTAGTTTTTCCAGCACCATTTATTAAAAAGACTATAATTTTGCTATTGTGTCTTCTTTGCACCCTTGCTGAAAATTAGTTGACTGTATATGTTCAGGTTTATGTATGGGTTCTTTACGCTGTTCCATGTGTCGGTTTTTAAAGAGCATGGACTTTAAAGCAAGACTTTGAGTTCAAATCTCAGCCTCACATGGGGAAAATTACTTCATTTCTCTTTCACTTATAATAACAGCAAGAACAAATGTATGTAGTTCATGACTATATATTAAATGAGTAAATACATACAAACAAATAGAAGATTGGCAAATATTATGTACTTTATAACTGCTTGTTACTTATTGTTATCAGCCATTATTATTGTTTGTGTTCTTGAAATACCTTGTATATAATAGGTGATAAGATTTTTAATGATATAAATTTTGCCTTTTCCACATATTTACTTTGTTTTTCAAGAAATTAATAATATCATTAACGGTCATAGCAAATAATGTCTAGCCATGTCATATTCCTTCCATGCCTCTGTTGCAGACTCTCCATTTGAGTGAGAGAGCAGGTAAAAGACTGTAAATCAATCCTAATAATAACACATCTGTTGGGGGTCACAGCAGATTAGATAAATGACCAGTAAACATTTTGTAAGGGCTGAGTGAGTTTTATTTTTTCTGGCATGTTAAATATGACCAAGTACAAAGGTGACCTGATTTTCCTTGCAATATTTGTTTAAGAAAACAGCTATGTCATATCCTTGGACCTTGAATATTTACAAGTTTTTCCGAGCTGGAATACCTGAATTCCAGAAGCTTTCTGATATGTGATGTGTGTGTGTGAGTGTTTGAACAGATGTGAGACTGTGGCTTCCAGTGTGGGGAGATATGGTCATGCATGTCTAGAGTCTCTGTCAACATTTATAATTTTGCAACGTATCTGTGTTTGTAATTGTGGACATTTGTAATTTGCCTGTGCCTAGAATTTGCTCTTAGGAATAATCTAGACTAACGTTAGAAATACATTTGGGCACTTAAATTTAATGCTAACTCTAGAGTTCCCATGGCTCTCAAGAGTCGTTCTGTAGTCCCCTGGATTGGAACACTATGGCTTGGCTCTTCTCTGGTCCCAGTGTCATCCTAGAGGAGAAATTCTTAGTGTCAGACCATGAACCACTTTTGAGAACCTGATGAAACTGTGAACTCTGCTTTTAGGTAAATTTGTGTACTCTAACTCACACTAAATTTGTCAGCATTTCAAAGTTTCAGAGATCCCTGAGGTCCCTTTGCAAACTCCTCTCAAAGAATCAGTTGCAATCAGTTGGCTTTATTGTGCAAGAATCAAAATATTGAATGTGGCATGAATGTAAAATGTAAGGAGAGAAGAATTGAATCTGTGAAAATCACATTTTCAACTGACTGAAGGTGGACAAATGACTGAAGGAGTGTGAAGTAGTCGTTTGGTTTCAGCAAGTCCTATAAAAAATAAAGATAGTTTAGAAATTTATTCATAGTGTGTTAACAGTTCTCATGATATATATTTATTTAGCTTCCATAATTTTTCTTTTTTGTCTATATCCCATAAGTTAATCAGATTAAATATTTAAATTTAAATATTTAAAATAGGCATATAGTAAACTGAAAATAATAGACATGTAATATTTACAGAAAAACTGTCTTTTACATGTTTCTTTACATTTTGCATCAGTAAAATATGTAACTGCTTATTAAATAACTTACTTTCATGTGGTCTTTAATAAAATTTTCTTATTTTGTGCTCAAAAATAGGATAAGCCAGCTGTCTAACCAGCTCTTATTCTCTTTTTCTTAACAGATATCCTGTTGAACAGCAGCTAAACAACACACTTTACCCATACGCTAGTCTAAGGAAATCACAGTGTATTTTTCCTGGTTTTTGGCAAGTTAGCCCATATAAAAATAAATGACATAGTAATTAAGCCCCACTGTCTGATATTAAACAGGTTTGATTTGCCTCCCATTTGCATGTTCTAGCTGTGATAATTTACTTAATGTCCTCAGTCATACCGGTTTTTATCCCTAAATTTGAGATAGGAATAATATCTGTTTCATATAGTCACTATGGGAATCAACAGACATAATTATGCACAGTTTTTATCATTTGGTGGAGACTTAGGATATTGGTTAAAAATAAATGTTAATATTTATTAATTTTACTTTATCTTTTCCAATACATGACATTTTACAGATCGATCAGTTTTTAAAATCCTTTCACATGTGCATTCTCACTTGAGTCTCATAGCAACCAGAAATGAGAAAATAAAAATTCAGAGAAAGTAATGACCAGCCTATGGTCATTAGGCAAGAAGATGAAAGAAGCAACCTTTTCTGGGCTAATAGTAGTCCCATGATATCGCAGACCATTGTCTGGTATTTTAGATCATAAAACATGTAAATATCTGATGGACTGAAAATATTTGTTGCAAAGAAACTCAAAATTTTGCAATTTTCTCCCCAAAGTGTGTTTTTTATTTTTTTATTTTTTATTTTTTTTGAGTCGGAGTCTCGCTCTGTCGCCCAGGCTGGAGTGCAGTGGCGCGATCTCGGTTCACTGCAAGCTCTGCCTCCTGGGTTCATGCCATTCTCCTGCTTCACCTCCTGAGTAGCTGGAACTACAGGCGCCCGCCACCAAGCCCAGCTAATTTTTTGTATTTTTAGTAGAGAAGGTGTTTCACCATGTTAGCCAGGATGGTCTCGATCTCCCGATCTTGTGATCCACCCGCCTCGGCCTCCCAAAGTGTTATGGTTACAGGCGTGAGTCACCACGCCCAGCCTCCCCAAAGTATTTTACACTCTTTGGATATTTTTCACTTTGTTAATCATTCTATTTGTTTAAATTCTTCTCATAAGTTTCAGATTATTTTAAACTCTACCATTATCCATTGGTCCAAGTAATAAATAGTAACATTTAGCATCACATTCAGTGTTCTGAAAGTATCCTTTTAATATTTATGTGTTTTTCAAGTTAAGCGTTATAATTCTTCCATGGGTTTATCTTAGAATAGGAGAAATATGAGAGGCTTAACTTCATGAATCATTTGGAAATGATGTCTGAAATAAAGAAATGCATGGAAACATATCGTTTCCTTTCACTCTTCATACTACAATGAGAGTGCAAGAGAATTGTTACAGAATTAAAATTTACTTAAACCCATATTCTATATAACTTCTTCTAAAATTACTTTTGAAATAAAAATCATGAAAGTGTTACTTGCTGTTTTACTCTACTGTCATAGTTTGTGTGTGAATAAGGATGAAATAAAACTATTAGATTCTAAGAGTGTCCCAATTGTCATAAAAAAGTTTGATAATAAAGTTGTCAATTATTTTCACTTTGTCAAATAAAATTATTTTAAATTTCTAGTTGGAACAGAATCTGGTATATCAATGCTATGGGTTTACCAAGGTAAAATTGTAAGTACCCTGTTTTTTCTGCTTCTGTAATACACTTAGTTTATCTATTTGTACTATTTTAGAATTTATGGTTGTATTCATAAATCCATGCTTCTTGTCAGAATTATTTATTTTGTATATTGTTCATTTACCTGTGTTGTCTTCTTTGGTATTTCCTTGGTGTTTTCATGCCGTAGGTGTAGTAACTGAGACTGTGGTTGTCTCAGGGGTGCTCGTGATGATGGACTCTGAAAAATCTTCTGGAGTGACTATATTGTCCACCGTTGGTTCAATGGTAGGAGCTGGTGTAGGTTCAACAGTAGTGATGGTATTGATGGTAGGGATGATTATTTTATCCTGAATTTTCTTTGGGGGGATGGCAATAAATGATGGATGTAGGTTTGGGCGACGTACCACAGTGGGTAAGTGGCTATTTGGTAGGTATTGCCGCTGAGGAATTTGGGCATGTGGCCTAACTACAGCTGGGTTTGCATAATATGTGCGAGGCACATATGGATTATTAATTGCTATAGCTGGTCTATGTTGGTACAAATTGGTTCCATAATAAGGATAGCTATTTGGCACATAATACATTGGGACATATGGAGCTGTTTTCTGATAGAACCGTCTTTCACCGTTCTCATGGCACTACAAAAAAGAATAAATTATACAGAATATTATTATTATAGACCCAAATGTGGAAATACCTTAAATCTGCATTTTTTGAAATAATATAGTATGTGCCATTGAGTAATATATTAGAAGTAGGGAACCCAGCAACAATATTATTTTATAAGATGTTGATTTGTACATTGCCTTTCCACTTCATGATTTTCAATATTATAAATATTATTTTGATAATATCAATATAATATTTGTTTCAAAGAAATTAGATGAGTTTATTCATAATGTAAACCATATTGCCCAGAGTTTGGCATATATAGAAAGTGATCTGACATGTTAGCTATTATAGGTACAACACAGAGAAAAATCTCACTCAGAACTTTGACATGTTATATGCAAGCACAACATGCAGACACACAGAAAATGGCACACACACACATATGTATTCTCACCACATATTTGTAACTGATCTCAAATTTTATTTATTTAAAAATTAGCCTAAGAGCACATTTATTTTTCCTAAACTAATTATAGCAGAATAGTAATATAACGTGATGTGGAGTGATTCCTGGATTTGAATTTTGGATTTTTTTTTTGTTGTTTAATTTTCTTCACCAAAGATTAGATAAAGAATTGTCTATATCTTAGCATGGATGGTCTTTACAATTTGGCATGTTTTTGCAGTGGCTGGTACTGGTAGTTCCTGTCCATGTTTACTGCTTCCTTCAGGAGATCTTGTAAGGCAGGCCTGGTGGTGATGAAATCTCTCAGCATTTGCTTGTCTGTAAATGATTTTATTTCTCCTTCACTTATGAAGCTTAGTTTGGCCGGATATGCAATTCTGGGTTGAAAATTCTTTTCTTTAAGAATGTTGAATATTGACCCCTACTCTATTCTGGCTTGTAGAGTTTCTGCCGAGAGATTCACTGTTAGTCTGATGGGCTTCCCTTTGTGGGTAACCCGACCTTTCACTCTGGCTGCCCTTAACATTTTTTCCTTCATTTAAACTTTGATGAATCTGACAATTATGTGTCTTGGAGTTGCTCTTCTCAATAGATGCAGAAAGGACCTTTGACAAAATTCAACAGCCCTTCATGCTAAAAACTCTCAATATTAATTAGGTATTGATGGGACACATCTCACAATAATAAGAGCTATTTATGATGAACCCACAGTTAATATCATATTAAATGGGCAAAAACTGGAAGCATTCCCTTTGAAAACTGGCGCAAGAAAGGGATGTCCTCTCTCACTGCTCCTATTCAAAATAATGTTGGAAGTTCTGGCCAGGGCAATCAGGCAGGAGAAAGAAATAAAGGGTATTCAGTTAGGAGAGGAGGAAGTCAAATTGTCCCTATTAGCAGATGACATGATTGTATATTTAGAAAACCCCATGATCACAGCCCCAAATCTTCTTAAGCTGATAAGCACCTTCAGCAAAGTCTCAGGATACAAAATTAATGTGCAAAAATCACAAGCATTCTTATACACCAATAACAGACAAACAGAGAGCCAAATCATGAATGAACTCCCATTCACAATAGCTTCAAAGAGAATAAAATACCTAGGAATCCAACTTACAAGGGATGTGAAGGACCTCTTCAAGGAGAACTAAAATCCACTGCTCAACAAAATAAAAGAGGACACAAACAAATGGAAGAACATTCCATGCTCATGGATAGGAAGAATCAATGTTGTGAAAATGGCCATACTGCCCAAGGTAATTTATAGATTCACTGCCATCCCCATCAAGCTACCAATGACTTTCTTCACAGAATTGGAAAAAAACTACTTTAAAGTTGATATGGACTTGAAAAAGACCCCGCATTGCCAAGACAATCCTAAGTGAAAAGAACAAAGCTGGAGGCATCATGCTACCTGACTTCAAATTATACTACAAGGCTACAGTAACAAAAACAGCATGGTACTGGTACCAAAACAGAGATATAGACCAGTGGAACAGAACAGAGACCTCAGAAATAACACAACACATCTACAACCATCTGATTTTTGACAAACCTGACAAAAACAAGAAATGAGGAACGGACTCCCTATTTAACAAATGGTGCTGGGAAAATTGGCTAACGATATGTAGAAAGCTGAAACTGGATCCCTTCCTTACACCTTGTACAAAAATTAATTCAAAATGGATTAAAGACTTAAATGTTAGACCTAAAACCATGAAAACCCCAGAAGAAAACCTAGGCAATACCATTCAGAACATAGACATGGGCAAGGACTTCATGTCTAAAACACAAAAAGCAATGGCAACAAAAACCAAAATTGACCAATGGGATATAATTAAACTAAAGAGCTTCTGCACAGCAAAAGGAACTACCATCAGAGTGAACAGGCAACCTACAGAATGGGAGAAAATTTTTGCAATCACCATCTGACAAGGGCTAATTATCCCAGAATCTACAAAGAAACTTGAAATTTACAAGGAAAAAAACACAGCCCATCAAAAAGTGGGGCGAAGGATATGACATTTCTCAAAATGAAGAATTATGCAGTCAGCAGACACAGAAAAAAATGCTCATCATCACTGGTTATCAGAGAAATGTGAATCAAACCACAATGAGATACCATATCTCACAACCGTTAGAAGGGTGATCATTTGAAAAGTCGGGAAACAACAGGTGCTGGAGAGATGTGGAGAAATAGGGAAACCACTTTTACACTGTTGGTGGGACTGTAACTAGTTCAACCATTGTGGAAGACAGTGTGCAATTCCCCAAGGATCTAGAGCTAGAAATACCATTGACCCAGCCATCCCATTGCTGGAGTATATACCACAAAGGCTTATAAATCATACTGTATATAAGACACATGCACACGTATGTTTATTGCAGCACTATTCACAATAGCAAAGACTTGGAACCAACCCAAATATCCATCAATGATAGACTGGATTAAGAAAATGTGGCACATATACACCATGGAATACTATGTAGCCATCAAAAGGATGAGTTCATGCCCTTTGTAGGGACATGGGTGAAGGTGGAAACCATCATTCTCAGCAAACTATCACAAGGACAAAAAGCCAAACACTGCATGTTCTCACTCATAGGTGGAAATTGAACAATGAGAACACTTGGACACAGGAAGGGGAACATCACACACTGGGGACCTGTCATGGGGTGGGGGGAGGGAGGAAGGATAGCATTAGGAGATATACCTAATGTAAATGACGAGTTAATGGATGCAGCACACCAACGTGGCACATGTATACATATGTAACAAATCTGCATGCTGTGCACATGTACCCTAGAACTTAGGGTATGTTTAAAAAAAAGAATTGTCTATAACTACGTGCCTCTGTTTAAAAATTTGTCATAAAAATTCATTGGTAGACCTTTCCATATAAATAGAAATAAATCAGCAAAATTATACTACAAAGCAAACTCCTAAAATGAGATATATTTAATGTATTCAAACATATGTGGGGAACAAAAGGGGAAGTAAATATAGATGTATGAGAAGTATTCTAGGAGGGGTCAGAGAAGGACCTTTCCTTGTCTTAAAAAGTGGAAAGGGGAAATATTAAGCTTTACTTATGTTTTCATTTTTTTTCCAATATGAAATGCTGAAAGAGTTTTCTCATATTGTGAAATATACCTGAAAACCAAAGATACATGACAGGTTATATAAGAAAACAAAACTTTCAGCTAGAACGTCAATGTTGATTCATATCACCTTTTGCTGAAATGAATTTTGGAAATATTATTAGATTATTTAATGAGATGAAATATTTAAGTTTTAGACAGAAGGCATCTGTAGTATGACTGACCTTTACAGAATATATTTTGCAGTTCATGCCTCTAATAGAAATAATTGAAATAGACTTACTGCTGGTTGTTTCTGGTTTTGAACCTCTGCAGCCTGGGGAGTTCCAGAAGAAGTAAGAAAAAAAAAGGAAGACTTAAATCAGTTAAATAAAATTTTGCGTTAAAGGCAAAATATGTTTTCTTTTTATTTTTTAAAACATTTTTCATGATTGATCTATGAGGCTTGTTGGACTACTTAAGAAGCAACAGTAGTGTAACTGATTAGTAATAATAAACTTCATGTTTATATTGTCTTTAAATATAACCACCTAGAATGAAAAAGTCACTGTGGGAAAAATCTAGTCATCTGACCGCTGTGCCATTAAATACACAATACACTTAAATGAAAAGTATGAATAATTTCTATTCAGTTTTTATTAAATATACATTGTTAAAAATTAGAGGAGTATTGAGACTTTTTTCCTTTCTCTGCTCTCATACTGAGATGATTCATAAGGTTTACTTAGAAGATTTAAAATATTGCCTCTTGCATAACCTTAATATATAAATAATAGTGTTTTTAATACCATCTTTCATTTGTTTTTATAGTGCTTTTCTTAGTTTTGAATTGTGACATATTTAGAGAATCAGGAGTGATAACACAATTTTATGGACATGTATTTATAAAACTAAAAACTCCAAAGCTTTTAGAAACTTTTGAAAGGAGGTATAATATTAAATAGTTTTAAATTGGCAGTTCTGGTTTAGGACATTACACATGTATTCTTGGGTATAAAATGACTCTAGAAACCTTTTGGAAGGTGTGAGTATAGAAAATCAGAAATTTGAGAAGGTAATAAAGTTTCCTTGCTTTAAGACAAAGACTTGCTTTTCTTTAAATATATTAAATCATTAGTTTAAAATGTAAAGAAGTAATATGAGTCTGGGCATGGTGTCTCACCGTGTAATCCCAGCACCTTGGGAGGCAGAGGTGGTTGGATCATCTGAGGTCAGGAGTTCAAGACCAGCTTGGCCAACATGGTGAAACCCTGCCTCTACTAAAAATACAAAAATAAACTGGGCATGGTGGCGGGAGCTTGTAGTCCCAGCTACTCAGGAGGCTGAGGCAGGAGAATTGCTTGATCCTGGGAGGCAGAGGTTGCAGTAAGCCAAGATCGCACCACTGCACTCCAGCCTGGGTGACAGAGTGAGACTCTGTCTCAAAAAAAAAAAAAAAAAGAAGTAATATGAATATTATAGAAAGTATACTTTAAAAAATTCTGACAATCTGGATACCTTAATGCAATATCAGCCTATGCTATGTATTCCTGGTATATGCTTGTCTAAAAAGTATCCTGCGTTTTTATAAGAAATGTGGTATCTCATATTTTTTAAATTTATATTATAGGTTTCATACCTACATTTTTATAGTTGATAACTAAGTTGTCAATGATTATGTCATGAAATGTTTATTTCTTATTGTTATCTATTAAGATAAAATTTTAATTATAAACAGATGATTAACATCTGTATACCAGTGGCCTTTTTAATAATTTTCATTAATACCTTAAAAAGATTTTTCACAAGGCCGGGCGCGGTGGCTCAAGCCTGTAATCCCAGCACTTTGGGAGGCCGAGACGGGCGGATCACGAGGTCAGGAGATCGAGACCATCCTGGTGAACACGGTGAAACCCCGTCTCCACTAAAAAAAAAATACAAAAAACTAGCCGGGCGAGGCGGCGGGCGCCTGTAGTCCCAGCTACTCGGGAGGCTGAGGCAGGAGAATGGCGTAAACCCAGGGGGCGGAGCTTGCAGTGAGCTGAGATCCGGCCTCTGCACTCCAGCCCGGGCGACAGAGCCAGACTCCGTCTCAAAAAAAAATAAAAAAAAAAAAAAAAAAAAAAGATTTTTCACAAATGTCATTAGTTTTCAGCGATTCTTTGATAGAAATTATCAAATTGTGGTACAGAAAATTTGTGCCAAATTAAAATGTCACCAATAGGCTATGTATTTATGCAGTTTAGTACATAATTGCTAGTAATATATTATCTAACTTTTTATTTTGGGGGAAGGGATAAAATAGTACATAAAACATGGTATCACATTGATGTTTTAATTTGTATAAATTTGACTACTCATAAGATTGAATGGTAAAATCAATAAACTTAAATTATTTTTTTCTGTATATTTGTTCATGTCCCTGAGGCCTGAAGCCTTTGTGAAAATGGGAAGGAATGTATGAAAGACAAATCCGGCTCAGGTAGCTCAGGAACAGGTTGCTATGCAGCAGGGATTTGTGGATCATTTTAAGCCCTATTACTCAAAGAGAAAACCTAAGTTCTAAATGTTCAGGTGGCCACAAAGTATCTGAGTTGTAGAACTCAAAGTTTTAAAAGGTAATTTTGACTCCAAGAATTGACATAATAGAGTTAATAGACATGTTATACATAGGCACAACATGCAGATAATAGAATTAATTAATAGATGTTAACTTAAAAGCAAGTCTAAACTTAATAATAAATAAATATTACAGAGATTTACAGAACAAGGACTAGTGTTCCCCAAAATTTTACAATCCAGGAGGTAGACATATACCATTATTATGCTTGCCTCCTTTGTGAGTGCCTAGAATCCCCAGATGAACATGAAAATAAAAAGAAGCAATAGCCAAAACAACAATAAAAACAAGTCAAAAAATTAAAAGACAAAACCAGAACTTTTTCTAGGTCCAGTAGCCTTAAAACATTGCATATAATTCAAGATAATGCCTGCAAACCTTCAAGCTGTTTATGGCCACGGATCCCTGGAAAGGGGTCAGTCAATTGACATAATGGAGAAGAATGTAACAAAAGATAATGATTCGAATATTAAAGGCAGAAGTATCAAGGTCTTTGAAACTTGTGAAAAAGCTTAACCAAAGTTGACCTTTGAAGGATTTTGTTTCCATAAAGACATTGGAGTCTGGGTGAGATACGAACTTAATTAAAATAATTTCTGATTCCGGACTATGATTTCTGTAGTTATTCTTTCTGAATTATCTTTAATGCATTTATAATTTTAAAATGTTTTCAGTATTGTTTTCCCCACAGAATGTATTTCCTCTATAGTATGAGAATATTAAGTTTCCTATATATGATTAACTGTGATTTCTTAATTCACAGAACTAAATGGATATCCAAAAGAACATGACTTTGATTTTATAATAGAAATAATATTAAAAAAATTAACCTTAAAATATAACAAGTTTGTAGATATTTTGGTCTATGAAGTATAACTGTATTTAGAAATTTGAATAGTTAGAGCCCTTAAATAAAAATTTCTTAAAGTCAGTACAAACTGGTTAGATGAAATTAACTTACCAAAAAAGGCAGGGTTAATGCCAGGACATTCACAACTAGAAGAAAACTCTTCATTATTGCACCTAAAGATACATTTACAAAATTAATTTAGAAGAATTTGTTACTAGAATTTTAGGAGTGACTTGAATACAATGTTTGCTTTGATTAAGAAAAAAAGCCAGAGTTACAGGTAGATTTAGCCAATGTGAAAAATTTATTTTAACAAAAGAATGTAAAAACTCAAACTTGGAGTAAAAAAATTTCTGAATTTAATTTTTGACAGCATTAATGGAATTATAAAATTATCATTACTATGTCAAATGTTGAGATTATCAAGGTAAATATGATGCAGGCCTTGCCAATGAGTAGCATCAATTTTAGGAAGAGTGTTGAAATATACACGAATAACTGTAAGAGGGAAAAAAATAGAAAATGCCACAAAAGTGGTTTTCTACTAATAAAAGTTTCAGTTAAGAGAAGCAGCAGTCTTTGTGTGGGAAAATGACATACAGGTGAGGCTTGCCTATGCAGGGTTTAATAGGGAGAGAAGTATTTCAAGTAGAGGAGAAAGTCTTGAGAATCACCATGAACATTTGATTGGAATCTTGTATGAGAAGAGAAATACAAGATTGGAAGGAAAGTTTAGAGCAGAAAAAGTAAACACCTTTGAGTTAATGATGGGTGAAAAAGCTAGGCATGGCTTTATAAACAACAGAAAACAATTGACTGTTTTCGGACTAGAAAGTGTATGACTATACATTTTTTGGAGGACTGAGTTCTAGACCAGAGTTCTCTACCTCTGTAACTTTGATCAAGTGATTTCCCTTTCCTGGGCTTTACATTTTTTTACCTGTAAAACTAGGGTTTGAACTTAGAGATTTCTAAAATTCTATAATTCCATGATCAATCCAACAGAAGTATGTAGGATGGAACGGGAAGTGGAGGGTTATGAAACTGTTTTCTTTATAACATGCTTCTCTAATAATCATAACTGATATGATTAACTCGATTGTTTTAATAGGAAATATAGAGATGATACAGTGGCTTTGACTAAAATATTTGAAGAAATAGATTAACCTTATTTTTCTAAAAGAGTATATACAGTGTCATACCTTCTTATTTGATTTTTAATAAATCATCTTTTTAGACAATAATAATATATGATACCCCAAACTTTCTATATTTAAGTATATATTATGTTTAGGAAGTAATTACTAACTTCATCTTGTTGCAGCTATTGTTATTGATATACTCATATAAACTTAAATCACCACAAACTTGAACTTTACAAAAAAGATTCACAGAATTAAAGTCTCAGATAGGGGATAGAAAGCACATTGTACTCCATTAGCGTCTGATTCTCAGGCAATAATGATTAGGAAGGCTGTCTACTGAAGTGACTTCAAAACTGCCCATACGATGTCATCCAATTTCCATTCGATGGAACTCATTTGGAATCAATTTGAACAATCTAAGAAAACTCGTATTTCTTTAAGTGGGATGAAGCTCCTTATTAATGCTTCACTTGCTAGTGATCTTTTAGGATTATAGACTGAAAATATTTTCATGATGAATCACAGACCCCTTATCAATTCACACAGTAAAATGATATGTAAACAAAAGAAAATATTCTATAAAATGATAGTAATTTGTTTTTGGCACAAACAAAAATTACAGAGATAAGACCATACTTTGCATATCAGCTACATTTGCATTTGCCCTCATCACTTGGTAAGAAGAAATAGTTCGTGAAATAGTAGAGTTATACAGCTTTCATGAGTATTTGAAAGGCATGTTTTAAAAAAATAATTATTCCATAACACATAAAATTATGACTTTTATGGAAATAAAATTTGAAAGTTATTAAGGGATCAATTGCGATTATTATCATGAGTCCAACTTCCTGAGGAATTAACTCTCAACGTTTGTCTGTAGGAATATGTTAAACGCCTTTTTTGTTCGGAATTCACAATGTCTACTATGATTTAGCTGGTGTCAGAATTCGACTGGAACCCAGATTAAAGTTAAAAATAAATTTGATCATAATACCATCCAGAACTTAGGTTTAGGTTAGAAATTAATTTTAAAGTGATGCTAGGTCATATTCAAGCTTAACAATAACTAAAAGGAAGAAAATGTGATTCTGAAATAACTATGGTGATGTCCCAACTAACTACCGTGAAAATAATCACTTTCTTTTCTCAGGTGTTTCAGCAGCATTACCTTTCCTCGTGCCAGTCAGGTCTTGGTTGGCAGTAGGTTGAGTTGGCTTGTCAGCTGCAGAGAAGACCCAAGATAAATAACTGAAGACCAGACCAATGAAAGGATATTAGTACCTTGAGTCACGCTATTCTGTTTCCCTCCTACTTTTTACCCAATAAGATGATGACAGAAAGGAAAGATTTGATGACAGCAGGGTCACCTTTGGGTCAATCCTTTTTAATGAAATGCAGAGAAGGATGTAAAGTCATCACTCATAAAGCTTGAAAAAAGAGTATTCATATCTTTTTAAATAATCTGTTTTATAAAGAAATATAGAAGAATTTTAAAAAATATTAATTGTATTCTTATTCAACTTATCCTATCTATTTGAACTTAAAACTGCTGTTGAAATGAAAAAGAGTCACAATACTTTCACATTTTAATTGTTTCTTTTAGTTTAAGAACCTGGATTTCAAGTGATACTGCATCTGGTATAGACTGTGGTTGGTCTTCTTCCTTCCAGAATTACAATTATTGATTTTTAAAAATTAAATAATTGGCCATCTCACACATACCCAAGAGCACCTCCTTATAAAGGTAAAACCCGTATATGAAACATTTTAATCGGTGTAAAGTGGGGAACTATTTGCATTTGAGCTGCAGCACATTTTCTCCCATATGCATTGACTACATACTTAGTGATTTATTATTTTCTTATGAATAAACATTTTTAAGATTTTAAATTTCATTAATATAGGTGGACCATTTTGAAAAAACATTATTAAATTATTGAATTGGAGATATTTGTTCTGTTTTAAGGAAAGTCATTTTGACTTAGAGCATACATCGGAAACCCACTGACATTGTGAATATTTTGGCAAAAAATATTCTAAATTATCTAAACAAAAATTTTGTTTAGATAATTCAGGAAAGAATTATTTTCTTTTACTTGTTTTTCTCAAGAAATAATGTTAACTGTGACTTTATTTTGGCTGTGAAGAACTGACCAGATTGAGGAACTTACAGGAATTAATGTAAGACTGCCAGAACACAAACAAGAAATAATATCAGCATTGTAGTTATGTCTATGTTCCTATCTGTTTCTTAGAACTGTTGCATGTCTTAGAAAGTTAGGAACAATACTCTAAACCGTAGAATACTTATTTGGATTACACAGAGTAAAATGAGATTTTCTGTTTCTCAGAATAGTTGGTTTTTGCAGTTCAAAAAGAGATGACAGAATTTAAAATTGCTAAACCAAGTTGCTAAAGTAATAACACCAGCCATTCTATCTGAACTATTTAGTCACAGTGTTTTCCTTTGATTCTCAGGGTCCATGGTTGAAAGACTATGATCTGGTCATTCCTAAATTTTGAAGGTGTTCTATTTCACATAGTAATTTCTCAGCCATTGATTTAAAATCATAAGAGTGTTAATGATTTTTCAGTTGAGTATTGAATTATTTAATTTACAAGTAGCAGACACTCAGAACACTTCTGAAGACATTGTTTTCACAGGAAAATATATTTTAAGAACACCTGAGAGTGCTAATAATCTTTTCTCCCACTAAGATAAAAACATGTTTACCATGGTATCATCCATTCACTTCAAACACTAATGTAGCTTTTGTGGGGCTTTGCAAAACTGGACATTATTATTTGAGCACACACATTATTTTAGGTACTGGACATTATTCTTTGAGCACATACTTTATTTCAGGTACTGTTTCAGGCAGTAGGGATAAATTAGTAACCAAAGCAGGTAAACATCTCTGTTCTTGTGGAGCTCGTAGTCTAAAATTTACTTGAATACTGGTAACATTGGATATTTCCCGTATCTACTGATCTAAGGCAATCTTAGTGAAAGTGTTTTGAGTGACTGGAGTAGAAGAACTAGGTGGATTCTATAATGGAGCTATCCAATGCTCTTGTGTTTTCCAAAGAGAAGCAAAAGGAGGATCAGAACTCTCCTGATCTGAAATCTCCAAGGAAGCTGCAATAGTGCTGAACAAGGCCTCCAAACTGAGAGTGTTTATAATTTGGAACGAATCCATCAGTCTTTATCTAGTTATGCATCCATCAATAGGGGGCATGGCCTGATGCTGGAATATCCCTGGATTATGGGAAGAGAACCAACAGGCTTCTCAGTCCAGCTGCAACTTCCCTTTTTTTAGGTCCTGATAATCAGTGTATATTCATACCACCATTCACACAGTGGGACTGGGTAAGAGGCTATTGTGGGTATATAAGTTCACATTTTAAGCATTATAAACAAAAACATTTTGCAATAAGTGACATGATGATTATTTACTCATATACACTCTTTTATTAGTAACAACTTCTTGTTACTCTGTTAATGTTTCTTACATTTGAAATGTACATCATGTCTATTTTATCTTCCTTTGAAGGTATTTATATGCATGTAGTTTTATTTTTTCTGTCTCATTTTATTTATCAGCCACTTCATTAGTACCAGGCTGACCTCAACACTCTATTTTGTTCTTGAAGTACAATAATGTCTGTAACAGTAGCTGCAATGTAAATGACAAACACAGCTTTCCATAGGATTAGTAAGGCATCTGAAAATTGATACTTTAGTGTAGAAATTTGTATGCTTCAAAAATCTTTGCTATATGTAAAAACCATGGAAAAAATAGCGTACGATGCTCTTAAAAATGGTCAACAAACTAGAGCAAAGTGGAATATCAAAATTTTACTCTCCTGTAGCCACTTCTGTTAAACAAACGATGCACATACAAACTGTTTGTATTAGAAACAAAGTACTTTTGGGAGTATAATAGACAGCCACAATCTCTGTTTGAGGAGATTTTCTAAGGAGATAGTGTTTTCTCCTGAACACTTACAGAAAGACTATTTTGAGATTGTGAGGAGACATTGTATGTCATCTGGAGCCTAAAGTGAGTGTCATTATGACTTTAGCATTAACACACACATTAATTTATTCCTCAGTAAGTTTTAGGGTGCAAAGATTTCTGAAACCATTAAAATATAAAGATTTAAAAGTACAAAGGATAATCAATTTATGTAAAGTGTTATTTCTGCAACATGATCCCAAGACCCCTATAATCCTGTCCTATGTTTATTTCATTCTTGTCATTCTTGTTACCATTCAAAATAAACAGCCAGATCAACGATGATCTCTGTGTAGCCAAATCTAATGGGAGCTGTTAGATATTTTTCCCACTCAATATTTTAGCAACTCTTGGCATGGTGATTCATTTTTCTGACTGGTAAAACTTTTTGACTTTTCCTTCCTTTTTTTTCCCCTCGAATCACTTAAAGCTGCTCTTAATTTTCATTTTGGTTCCTCTTATTTTCCTCAAACTCTAAATTTAGGAGAACTTTTAAAAATTCTTCCAGCATCCACCACCACTATATCTTTTCTCCCTCTATCTTTAATGTCTTTCTAGTTGATGTACTCAATTCCCGTAACCTTAAGTATCATCAATAGGCTATTGCCTTCACTGAAATCTAGATTCAAGTATCCAATAGCTATTTTAAAATCTCCATTAGAATGTAAAATAGACATCTCCAAATTATCATGAACAAAGCAGAATCTTTTATTTCCAAACATACCCTGTTTCACTAGTTCTCCACTAATCTCTTTTCTCCTTTAGTAAACAGAGCCATGATACTACTAGTGACTGAAGGGCCATCTAGTGACTCCTATAGGTCATCTTTTCTCTCATCCCTGCAACAACCTGTTAGAAGAATTATTAGTTCTATCTCAAGAATATACCCCAAATCTGATACCACTTTCTAATCTGACCTTTGTTGCTTTAGTCCCAACCACTGGTGTGTCACACCTGAACCATCCTAATATTTCTGTTTTTGGTCTCTTTACTTTCACTCTTATCACCCTATAATCATTTTTTACACAGTTATAAAAGTGTTTTTAACATATATCTGACATGATAATTATTCTACTTAAATTCTCAATGGATTCCTAGGCACTTACAATACATTCAAACTTTTTTACCACGGACCATTTCTAAATAATTTGGTCTCTCTTTATCCATCTCACCTTAACTTCTACCCCTTTTACTCTCACTGTGTGCTGGTTTCAATGACCTTTCTGTTCCTAAATGTGCCAAATTCTTTCCTAAATCAGGAACTTCCACTTATATTCATGGTCCCTGGAATGTTCTTACCTCAATTCTCAGAAATGTTCCCTGTATTATTTGGGATTCACCTCAAATGTCTTCATTTCAGAGAGGCTTTCTTTGGCACTTTGTCTAAATACTTCTTCATCACTTTATTATTTTACCTTTTATTTTCCTCATATTACAATATAATTTTTTTTTTTTACTTATACGTGTTCATTTACTATTTCCTGTCCTTTTACACTAGAAAATAATGGTCCCAGTCTCTAAACCTTTGCTTGGCACATATTAGACACATACTCGTTGAGCAAATGATTAACTCTCTGTACTACTTGTTTAAGTTGCAAATTCCTGCCTAACCCCACAACACAGAGTCAAGATTTTCAGAGCAGGAATGTTCCTAGAAATCTGAATAACAAATAAGAAACTGAATAATTTTTTATGCAGATCAATGTTTTGGAATGTTTACTACTTTCCTCTGGATGAGGCCAGAACCTAGTCAAGAAGAATGTCTAAAATAGGCAGGCATATTATCTGTTTTCCCCTTGAATTCTAACTTCATAGAAGAGTTAGAACATGTAGATGAAGAATGGATTTTTTTTGGCTCTGTTTTCCTGTGAGTGTATTAGAACTGACCTTCCCCTGAGTGTTGGGGAGGCTGTTCTCTAGCTGGGCTCTCATTTAGAGTGACCACAGTTAGAATTCAGTGTGTCTCTCTGCTCTTATTTCATTCCCGTGCTAAAGTCTTGGATACTTGAGGGGAAAGTAGATGCTTCCTTAAGCAATTGTAGGGAGGATCCAATAGGTGGTCCATGCCTTGCTGTTTGCCTTGCTGTATTGCTGTTAGTGTCCTTCAGCTACCTTGGTTTGATGCCCATGGCTTTGGCCAGGGTTTCAACTCTGCCCGGGCATTATTGAATTGACATAGAATCCTAAATAAATACTGTCTCCTAGATATATTAGCTGTTTTCATAAGGAAGTAACTCATGAGGTTATCTTTACTCTGTATCTGCATGAAAAATTGATAGAAATGTTATTTAGTGAACAAGAATATTATTAAGATGTTTATCTTTTGCTTCTCAGGTTAGAGGTTGTTCCTAAGATTAATAGAACTTTATATATTTATTAGAAATATGTTTTAAAGTATTTTACTCCCATCTTTTGCTCTTTTATCTTTGTCTAATGGAAATAAACATCATTAAAAATACCCATTTTCAATAAAATATAAAACAAAAAGAAAACAAAAGCGACAAACAAAAATATCAATTTGAGTGTAGAGCTTATCTAGTAAATGTTTATTGAGCATCGAATTTGTGCCTGTTTCCCCGTCAGTAACCTATTTATCCATTAAAGTTCAACTCAAAGTCACCTGTGGGACCTTTCCTAATTTGTGTAGGCAGAGCTAGTTTCTCCTCTGCTTTAAAACAAAAAGCTCTGTACTTTTTTGGAGCATTTATTACATTTCTTGAAATTTTGTCTATGTTTATCTCCCCTATCTAACCTGTAAGATCATTAAAGAGAATCTTTTTTCTTAATCTCCAGTATTTAGCACAACAATATTTTCTCCAAATCTCCAGTATTTAGCACAACAATTGACAAAAAGTAAGTATAGTCATGTGCTGTATAACAATGTTTTGGTCAGTGCCTAACTATCTATGATGGTGATCTCATAAGGTTATAATGGAGCTGAAAAACTCTTGTTGCTAGGAATGTCTTGATAATCCTGGCCCTGTTTAGGCATAGGCTAATATGTATGTTTGTGTCTTGGTTTTAAACAAAAAAGTTTAAAAGTAAAAAAAGTATTTAACAGTGGAAAAAACTTATAGAATAAAGATATAAAGAATAAAAATGTATTTGTATCTTTTGTTGTATCTTTATACTCTAAAGACATTTTTATACCTTAATTCATTATTGAAGAAAGAAAAATATGTTTTCATGAATTTAGTGTAGCCTAAGTTTGCAGTATTTATAAGGTTCACAGTAGTGTACATTTATGTCCTGGGCCTTCACATTTAATCACCACTCACTTACTGACTCACCCAGAGCAAATTCCAGGTCTCTAGGTTCCACTCATGGTAAGTACCCTATATAGTTGTACTATTTTTAAAATCTTTTATACCATATTTTACTGTATTTTTCTATGTGTAAATACACAAATATTCCCTGTTGTTTTATAATTACCTATAGTATTCAAGAATAATGCCCAAATTCACTGGGTGGGGGAAATAGTTAATTAATTTTAACAGAAACAAATCTAGCAGTTAAAGTAGATGACAGAGTTGTTTTTTCTTCAGAAAGTTGTTATGACACAAAATGAGGCAGATGAAATAAAAGCTCTGAGAGTTAAGATGAGATGTCAAGGACTTTTAATGAAACAAAAAACTGGGATAGATTAGATTAGATAGTAGATTAGTGGCACAGTAGATTACTTGCAGAGCTGAGTCTTCCACATTTCAGAGCAACCATTTGTCTTTGGCCCCTCTTCAGGGCTCTGATTGCCTTTGTCTCTCTGCCCCTCTATCTTATTTTCCCATGACTGTCTCTCCCTGGTCATGCAGTTGCCTCCAATCTGTCAGCTGTGAAGTTAGGAAACAATGCCTATAAAATTAATTTATCAAATTGTATTGACGACTGTTTGGTTTTCTTGTTGTCTTTCCCATATTTCAATTGGGATCACTGACTTTAATACCAAGAAATATTTAAATGTTTGAGGTACCTGTAATCCCTGAAAGTGATCAAGGGAGTCAGCCATTTCCCTAGTCAAGTGCCAAGTGGCTCATTAGGCTGACTTTGATTTGTAGCCAGTTATGGATGAATGATGGCAGAATTTCCATTGTTGATGCTAAGGGTCTCAGTTATGAACAATTTAAACTTAAGGTGAAGAAACACAATCTTTATTCAAAGAGAATTTTTCTAATTTCCTGATAATCAGCTTGTGGAGACAAAGGCAGTCATTGTGACCCACTGAAAGGCCTATTGTGCAAGTAGAATCTTGTTGGATGACTTTTGTCACATGCTGTAGGACAGTTTGTTATTATCACCATCTGCCACCTCTTCCTTCTTCAAGATATTGCTGAAGATTGAAAAAAAATCAAGTACTTATCATGGAATTTGTGGAAATTAAGAAACCAAGACCTTTGCTTTCATGTTTATTAAAGAAGATCACTAAAGATATTGAATAGAGAATGCTGTGTGCTATTTCAATTACATTTGTTATTCTTTCATTAACAGGAATTTTGATTCTTCAAAGAAGTGGCTCACATTTAATTTTAGGTGACCTGAAATAAACAACAGACATAAGGTTATTAATTCCAATGGGTTATTGTTTTGGAAACATGTACATTTTATGCATTTTAATGACAACTATTGGCTTAAAAATATATCTAGTTCAAGGACTGGGAAACCATCTGCTCAAGAACACTGAGTAGATGTAAAAAGAAAGCAAAGGTCTTTAGTGGTAAGTATTATCTGAAATATTTTGTTTCCTAGAACAGTCCTCTGGGTTCTAATTTAATCTTAGATAAGACTATTTTATATAAATTAAATTTTAAATTATTACAGTAGATTAGATCTATAGTCTATGGTATAGACTTTATTTCCTCAATTTATCTAGTAATTGACACATCATCCACTTTGTTTTTGATGTGATGAAATGACAGGGGTCACTGTTATAGGTGAAGCATGAAGCCTTTAAAATTTTTTACTATGATGTGACATTCGGAAGCTAAGTTTGGAATTTTAGTATTAGAAAAATTACATGGTTCTCTAAGGACTAAGCTGAAGTCTACTTTAAACTCTAGGCCCATAAATTCATCTACTATGATCTCCACCTTGGTTACTCTGATTCAGTCCAAAATGCAGTTATTGACAATAGTATAAAGAGTTACAACACTTTGTAAACAATATTTTAATAACATAGGGATTGTTTCTGTTACATCACAACAAAGGAGGGATTGAAAGTGCTGTGCTGATTAGATCATGGAAGGGCACATATGTGTATCTGAGTGGACACACGTGACGGTATCTACCAGAGAAAAACATTAAAACAAATTGAAACTTAAAGGGGCCAACTGGGGACATAGTTAACATTTCTTTTTCCTTGAAATTATGGATTCCAATCTGCAAACTTAAAGTTATGATTGTAACTATGTGTACTTACCACATATTTCATCTTCAATTGTGAATTCTCATTCTTGTTTACTTTTCACTGGAAGGGGAGTTGTAGGGACAGATTCAGGTATTGGAACAGGAAAATTACGTCCAAACCTTGGAAATCTTGGATATGGAATTGGTGGAAATGGGCGAAATGGATATGGGTAAGGGAACGCAAGAAACCCTGAAAAAAATTCATCGCTGTCACTGACCTGTTGAAAGAAAGAAGTTAAAGGGTTTATTTTACTTTTTACACAGAAGAGAAATTGAACAGCTTTGTTTTTTTTTAAATAATGGGCCTTTATTTTTAGGAAGAGGCTTTAGAAGCTCTAAAATCCTTTATCCTTTCTGTGTGTACTATGGACAGGGAGTTTATTAATTGGCATCATTTAAACATTATTTAGAAAAGTATGTTCTTGTATCTTTCCACCTAAAGGCAAATTTTTCTGGCAATTACTTCTTTACCTACAAGGCCAAGATGAATGTGGTGTTGCAGTACCATAAAATTTCTCCCTTTGCCTTCATGCAAGTTCTTTACCCAAACCACATGTAGGAAACAACCTCTGTCTTTCAGTATCTCAGTTCCTTCTTCCTGCATTCTCTCTCAATTTTCTGTCTGTATCTCTATTAGTTTTTGTATTCTTAGCTCTCTGTTTGTAGTTTTTGTGATAAAATCATGCTTTCCAGATAATAGGATTTTCATAAATAAAAACAAATCTTTAAATAAGGCTTTCCCTCTTCAAATTTTATTTTCTTTTTATTAAACAATTTTAGTTAACTGTTTAGACTCAAATAATCCATGAGCGAATTTGCCACTGGGAGGATCATCAAAGCTGGCCCACATCTCTTAATGCTCAGGTTTCATTTTTTACTTTTTTTTGAAATGAGTTTCATAGAGCCTCTGCCTTAGCTTATGGAGGCCTGAGTTATTAGGCTAGATAAATCTAGAAAAAAATATTGTAACCCAAATCGTCACAGAATGATTTGGATTTCAATCCAATTCTTACCGTGATATGAGATATGGAGATAATTTCCTTTCTATGGGCAGAGCTCACATCCCTGAAGTCTAAACCTCTGTTGAGTGCTAATACCAAAATCTCTTTATGAATCTCTCCACAGTTTGGGAGGTTTAGGTAAATCAGTATCTTTAACAACAGTTGTGAATATTTCACACATAAAACTTACATGTAAAAAAGAGAAAAGGTAACTTACACTTCTTTTTTCTCGTTCCTGGTCTTGAGAGACCTAATGGTCAAACAGTGAAGTTAATTAAACTCATGCTCATGAAAACACACAAATAAATATATACATATGCATGAGGGAAATAATTTGACAATCTATTACCTAATATTGTTTCATAATAACCATTTTTTAAAAATACCCAGAATTTGTCTAGAAAATGTAGAAATGATTTTCCTGAAAAGTCTTAATATATATTCTCAAATGGCTCAGATTCACCACTATACCAAAGATATGTGGAACTGAATTATGCACTGAATGGTATATGGTTTATAATATTTTCTGGAGTGTAATGATAAAAGGGCATGTGTGTTAGGTATTCTTACAGAATACAGCATGTGAAGGAGAAAAAACCCTGAAGATTCATGAATCAAGACAAAATATACAGTCATGCATTGCCTAACAGCAGAGATAAGTTCTGAGAAATGGGTAGTTCAATGATTTCATCATGGAAACATCATAGAGTGTACTTACACAAAACTAGGTGGTATAGCCTACTACATACCTAGGCTAGATAGTATAGTCTCTTGCTCCTAGCCTACAAAACTGTATGGCTGATTACTATCCTGAATACTGTAGGCAGTTGTAACACAATGGTAAGTATTCATGTATCTAAAAATATCTAAGACATATCTAAACATAGAAAAGGTACAGTAAAAAATATAGTATAAAAGATGGAAAATGGTACACTTTATACCTATACACTTATATAGGTTACGTGCCATAAATAAAGCTTTCAGGACTGGAAGTTGCTCTGTGTGAGTTAGTAAGTGAGTTATTGCATATGAAGGCCTAGGATATTACTGTTTACTCCTGCGGACTTTGTAAACACTGTACACTTACGCTACACTAACCTTATAAAAACGTATTTTTCTTCCTTTGATAATAAATTAACCTTAGCTTACTATAACTATTTTACTTTAACTCTTTTGTAATAACACTTAGCTTAAAACAAACACATTTTACAGCTGTACAAAAATACTTTCACTCTTTATATCCTTACTCTATATGCTTTTTCTTTTTTACTTTTAAACTATTTTGTTTAAAACTGAGACACAAACATATACATTTGCCTAGGCTTCCACAGGGTCAGGGTCATCAATATCACTGCTTTCCACCTCCCCATCTTGTCCTACTGGAAGGTCTTCAGGGGCAGTTAGACACGTGGAACATTCATCTCCTATGATAATAATGCTTTCTTATGAATACCTCCTGAAGGACGTGTCTGAGGCTGTTTTACAGTTAATGTTAAAAAAATAGTAGAAGGAGTAAACTCTAAATAATGATAAAAGCATAGTACAATAAATACACAAACCACAGTACAATAAATACACAATAATGTTTATTATTGTATTATGAACTGTGCATGATTTTTTGTGCTCTACTCTTATGTGACTGACAGAGGGTAGGTTTGTTTACATCAGCATCATCACAAACACGTGAACACATGACTAATGCATTGCCCTATGACATAATGATGGCTACGGTACCATTAGGTGGTAGGAGTTTTTCAGCTTCATCATGATTTTTTTTTTCTTTTTTATTTTTTTAAGAGAGGTAGGATTGCTAGGTTGCCCAGGCTGCTTTTGAACTTATGGGCTCAAGTGATTCTTCTGCCTTGACCTCCCAAATTACAGGGAATACAGGCATAAGCCACTGTACTTCGTAGCTCTGTTATAATCTTATGGGACCATCCTTGTATATACGGTTCCTGGTTGATGGAAATATGTGGTACATGGTTATACATAAATATTTTGGAATGTAGAAATCGATACTTACTGGGAAACCAACAGCCACTGCCAGGATGGCTGTGATCAGAAGGAGAACTTTCTTCATCTGCAAAATGGAATAAATAAAATAAAAAATAAGAAGAACTTTCATTTTATTCATAAATATCCTAGAAGTCAACAAAAAGACTGAATTCAAAAGATCCAGTTAAAGTACGAATTATTCGACAAATAGCTCTTTGAGTTTGAGCAAGTCACTTACAATCATAGAGAATCAATCTATTTGTTAATAAAGAACTTTTTTAAGGTCAAATAAAAGGAGCTTTGTAATTTCATAACTATATTACACCGGTTGCTTTAAAAATAAGCATTCACATATTATTTAAGAATAATAATTCCTACGTAACAAACCTACACATGTATCCCTGAACTTAAAATAACAAATAAAAGAATAATACTTCTATGTACTTGTAAAGTACATAGTTCCTGGAAGAAATAATGCATTGGTTTATACAGAGAATGTTAGTTTTGGAAGTAAGAATGTTAGTTTGGAAGTAAGAAGTAAGTTTGAATTTAGGGATCTCAGAAAGTTCAACATTTCTTATACTAATGTCCATGAAAGTAATGTAGGTGACAGATTTATTTGCACTGGTTCCAGGCAACCCCAAAAAGTCCATGATGTGAAGAAGGATCTGTTTTCATGCCTGCTAATACAAAATCCATCCTGTAGTCCATGTATCAAAGAGTAATTTTGACTTTCAAGTTTTATTATTTAATAAATAATAAAGGACTTTTCCAAAGCATTTTATTGTATTTTAATTTTCACTGTAGATTCCTCATCATATCACACACTGTTAAAATGTATCAATTACAATATCATTAATATTATATTTGAGAAAACTGAGCTAAATTAAAGATTTATTCAATAATTTTATAATGGAGTACACAATGAAACAGAACATTTGCATTTATAAATATTTGTCATTAATACAATAAATGTGCATATTACTGGATTTCAAATAATAATGGGAAATTTTCTGTATTGGATGGTATCATTAGGCATTAATCCTCTTCTTTGTCATGGTGTGAATGCCATATATGCTAGAGAACATGTGGGGGGTTCTGGGAAAGGCAGTCAAGTTGAAAATGTGGATTGGCTATGGGACTTTTCTTGAAGTTTGCCTCATATTTGTTAATTTATTAGTTTATAAAGTTTTTCTTGATAACTGATTAAGTATGAGATGTTATTCTAGGTGTTGTGTATGTACAGGCACACCTCATTTTATTGCACTTTATAGATATCTTGTTTTTTACAAATTGAGTGGCAATTTGTGGCAATCTGGCATCGAGCAAGTCTATCAGCACCATTTTCCCAACAGCACGTGCTCACTGCGTGTCTCTGTGTCATATTTTGGTAATCTTAGCAGTATTTTGTAGTTTTCAGTATTATAATATATTTTAATATCTACAAGATATTATAAATATGTAATAAGATTTTATTATATCTTTTATGGTGATCTGTGATGAGTGATCTTTGGTGGTGTTACTTTGATCCAATTATTTGGGGCTGTTATGGGAAAAATAAGTGGCAAACTTATTTGACAAATGTTGTGAATATTTTGATTGCTTCACTCACTGGCCATGCCCCCAGTTATCTCTTCCTCTCCTCAGGCTTTTCTATTTCCTGAGATATGAGAATATTAAATTTGGGCCAGTTAATAACCCTACAATACCCTCTAAGTGTTCTAATGAAAGGAAGAGTCACATGTCTCCTACTTTACATCAAAAGGTAAAAACGATTTAGTGAAGAAGGAATGTCAAAAGCTAAGATAAGATGAAAGGGAGGATTTTGCAACAACTAGTTAGCCAAGTTGTGAATGCAAAGGAAAAGTTTGGAAGGACGTTAAAAGTGCTACTACAATGAACGCAGGAATGACAAGAAAGTGAGAATCTTGTTTCCAATAAGGAGAAAGTTTTAGTTGTCTGGATAGATCAAACCAGACAGCACATTTTCTTAAGCAGAAGCCTAATCTAGAACAAGGTCCCTATGCTCTTTAATTATACAAAGCCCTAGAGATGTGAAGAAGCTGCAGAAGAAAAGTCAGAAGCCAGCAGAGATTGGCTATAACATAAAAGTGCAAGATAAAGCAGCAAGTGTTGATACAGAGGCTGCAGCGTTATCCAGAAAATCCAAGAACACTGATGAAGGTGTCTACAATAAGTAATAGATTTTTATTGTGGATGAAACAGTCTTATTTTGAAAAAAGATGCCATCTAGACTTTCATAGCTAAAGAGAAGAAAACAATGCCTGGCTTCAGAGCTTCAAAGGACAGGCTGACTCTTTTTAAGGGATATAGCTGGTTTCCTAAATTGAAGCCAATGCTCATTTATCATTTCAAAAATCCTAGTGCAATTAAGAATTATACTAAATCTACTCTTCCTGTGCTCTATGGATGGAACAACAAAGCCTGGGTGGCAGTACATCTGGCAGAGCATGGTTTACTAAATGTTTTCAGCTCACTTCTTAGGAAAAAATATTTTTTTCAAAATATTGCTGTTCATTGAAAATGCACCTGAGCCCCTAAGAACTCTGAAGCAGATGTTCAAAGAGATGAATGTCGTTTTCATGCCTGGTAACACAACATCCATTCTGCAGCCCATGGATCAAAGAGTAAATTTGACTTTCAGGTTTCATTATTGAATAAATACATTTTGTTAGACTATAGCTGGCACAGATAATGATTTCTTCGATGGACCTGGGCAAAGTAAATTAAAAACCTTCTGTAAAATATTCACCACTCCAGATGCCATTAAGACCATTGTGATTCATAGGAGGAGGCCAAAATATCAACATTACAGGAGTTTGGGAGAAGTTGATTCCAACTCTTGTGGATGACTTTGAGGGATTCAAGACTTCAGTGAAGGAAGTAATGTGCAGATGTGGTGGAAATAGCAAGAGAACTAGAAGTGAAGCTTGAACATGTGACTTAATTGCTTCAATATAATGGTAAAACTTGAGCGAATGAAAAATTGCTTCTTATGGATGAGCAAAGGAAGTGGTTTCTTGAGATAGAATCTACTCCTGGTGGAGATGCTGTGAAATATTTTTCAAATGACAGTAAATTATTTAAAAACATAAACTTAATGGATAAAGCAGTGGCAGGGTTTTCAAGAGTTGAGTCCAATTTTGAAAGAAATATTGTGTGCAAAATTCTTCATGTGCTCCAAAATGCTACAGCATCACATGCTACTGAGAAATCTTTTGTGAAAGGAAGAGTCAATCTGTGTGTCAAACTTCGTTGTTGACTTATTTTAAGAAATTGCCACAGCCACCTTAGCCGTCAGGAATCATCACCCTGATCAGTCAGTAGCCATCAACATCAAGGCAAGACCCTCCACCAGCTAAAAGATTATGACTCAGTGAAGACTGAGATAATTGTTAGTACTTTTGAGCAATAAAGTATGTTTTAATTAAGATTTTTATATTGTTTTTCTAGACATACTGCTATTACACTTAACATATAATGCTATAGTGTAATCATAACTTTTATGTACATTGGGAATCCAAGAAATTCATTTGACCTGCCTAACTGTGATACTCATTCTATGGTGGTGGTTAAGAACTGAACCTGCAGTATCTCTGAAGTTTACCTGTAATATCAGTTTGGAAAGTCCCTGATTTATGGATCCTTTAAGCTCACTGTTACATTGTTATAGGTAAATACATTACAAAGTTTTCTAAAGATTATTTAATATTTTACATTGAGGAAAATGTCAATTTTTAATGTCATTATCATTTTGAAGTACCTTTGAGATAGTGGAGATTCTAGGGAAATTTTATCACCTTTTGATGTTTCCTATATATCTATGAGACAAAAGAACACAGTGTAAAAAATGTAGCAACGTTTTGATCTCTGCCTTTATTTTCTGAAATTAATCAAAATTTGAATTCAAATTCAAAAAAGTACCAGATAATGTAATAATTTTGAGAAGACAAGAATGTAAAATTCTAGTCAAGTTCAGACTTCTACAGGCAGATTGTTAATGTAGGAAATCAAGAGTAAAAAATTATACAAGCACTCACATGCATACACTCACACATTCTCACAGACACACACATACATATACATATACACAGTCTATTTTCTATGTGCAAAGCATTGTGGTGGGTGCTTTTAGGGATACAATGAGAAAGCATAATTTCTTCCATATGAGACTTCCACATGGAAGACAGTTACAGATATTTCTATAATGCAATATAAAGTGTGATATATACCATATGTAGAAATTGCAAAATATTGGGAGTATTTAGAAGAAGAAAGAGACAGGTTGAGGAAATAGTTTTGGAGAGGATAGAATTCAAGCAGGGCCTTCACAATTTCTTTCAATGGGTTTCAAGAATTATTTAAAACTACATTAAGCAAAGAAGTAAATAAACCATAACACAGACTCTTCCAGATCATATCTTAGAGTCAGGACACAGCATAATTACCAGCTATCTCCTTTTATTTTTATACTTATCAAGTCATGATACCCATGGCAGTTTATTGCTGTGTGCTATAGAATAACTGATATCCCAGATAAATTAGATGCATCTTCCTAGAAAATTAATTTTATTCAAGAATTTATGGGAAAGACAAATGACTTTTATATTAAAATCAACATAAAATGTTATGGAATGGAATGTAAGTACTGCATATATTTTAAAGATAAAAGAGGAGGCCAAAGAAATTGGCTCTTGCTCAGACGTTAGAGAATCTCTGGCGGTGCATGTTCCCTTTCTTTGCTGACCTGATGGCCACAAAGTTAAAAATAAACCTGAGGCTCTGTTGTCTCACTCTGTCCGCATTCTCCCCAACCAGCGTTCCGCTCCTACAAAGATTCGTTTACGGTCACTCTAAAATAAATATTTACTACAACAAGATAGTGATTTAAAAAAAAAAGTTTTGCAAACAGAATACTAAAAGTGATCTTCTAATTACTAAGTACAAATTCAAGCAACCATTACATGACAGTCTCAATAATCTAAATTTTTATGATTTAAAGAAAAATATACGGAGAGATGCTATATATCTATATTTACAAAATACATATACAATGTTAGTTTACAATGATATTTAAGACCTTTCTTACCTCAAACGTTTCAGTCAGTTCTTTGTCTCCGATGCTGTTAGAAAGGGCGAGTGTCTGGCCCTGGAATATTGCAGCTGTTTTATATACTCGAAGGTATAATGGAGTGGAGAAATCTGTGGCTTAAAGGCTTCTCCCATAGAATCAGTTATTACTCATCAACTATCACAATATGTTGAAATTAGGGAATAACCAATGTTTAGTTTCATAGAAACTACCAAATACCAAAATCTTTTGTGGTTTGTATCTCCAAATTTTGTGTCTTGTATATTTGAAGCTTATCACTTTACATGTTGTTGTTCCATTGTCTACTCTCACAATTTTTTTCCTTCACTTCCTACAATTTAAAATACCTCCAAGCATTTTACTGGTATTGATTATAATCTATTGCAAAGCATATTTGATAGTGCTGGAATCTTAAGAAAATAAAAATTCTAAAAATCGTTAAAGATGGGATTAAAATCTTTTGCATGATTCTGCGTTCAGCTTCTTCATTTTATTATCAGGATTAGAGCTTCATAGATGAGTGAATTGTATTTTTGGAGCACCACAGCATCTTGTTTACCTTATGGAACACTATTACTCTGTTTCTCAACTAAAAATTCACTTGCAACAGAAAGGGCATCATCATTAAGTGCTGGACTAGAAACTAGAGCCCACAAAACATTCAAGAATTACCTTAAATATGCATGCATATTGGATATGCCATTTTCAAGAGTCATAAAATTTGAGCTTTAACTCATTTGAGAGCTTTCAAGAATATTCTATTATTGAGTTCAAGTTCTACTTCAAAAGAGGTTATATAGTCCAGATTGTAGTAGTAGTGCATCAAAGTCCCTTTTCTTTTTATTTTTTCTAGAAATCAGTTCTCAAGGGAACTCAGAAAAATAATAACAGCTAAGTTTTTTGAGAACTTCAAGTGCTGAAGCACAAATTTAAATGCTTTATATATATAATATAATTAAATCCCCCAAACCACTTTAAGAGGAAAGTACTATGATCAACACCATCCCATTCTGAGACTGAGAAGCGAGAATATTAGTAATCGGTTTGCGTATTATAACTAGTCTCTGTCAGATACTGAATTGAGCACCAGCCATTTGGTTCTTAAACCCACATTTATAACTAGTGCCTTATACTGTCACTGTAACAGAAGGTGAGAAAAATCAGCACAAAGTCAGAGAAACATTAAACTTCCTTTACCTCTAACTTAACGTTTAATCTTATCTCAATGATTTAAAGAAAACTGCCTGAATCAGAAACTTAACATATCAAACCTGGTATGTTATTGTATATTGTTTTCTATTTTGACCAATTTGGGGCTCACAGTACATTTCCCTAGGGCTGGGGATGACAGATGTGTGTGATTCCAGTGAGCAGTATCGGTGACATAGGGCTGTCTGGTAGTGGCTCTGGCAGTGGTTAGTAAGAAATCTGGGCATGAGAACTCTGCAACTACTTCCCTTTTTACAGCTGGCGCCAAGTGTGCCCTAGAGATTCAGGAATTGACACCTCTTCAGATTCTAAAAACATTGACACACAGGGTTCTAATTATTTTGTAGGAACCCACAGATGCTAAGTTGACTTTAGTTGAACGCATAATGTTAGGAGAGCTTTAAATGAGAATTCATGGATTATTTGTATTTATTCTCTTAGAAAGTCTCTCACAGGCTTTTTAAAATAAAAATTGCTCCTTAGTATTGACATATATGCGAGCCTGGTAAAGGTCAGATCATTTATCATGGTTTCCAATTCACAGAAGAGAAAGATGATTGCCTAAAAGATATGCACTGCTTTGAATTTTTGCAAAATCATAGGCCAAAGACATGAAATAAAATATTTCTGCTCTCTTATTGTAAGTAGTGAGTTAGTCCACTTGCTCAAGCCTTCCCCATAGTGCAGTTTCCCTAGTACTACA